CACATCAAACTACAGTGGTGATACTCCTACTACTACTACTACTACTACTACTACTACTACTACAACAGTAGACATCAAACTACTGTGTGTCACGATCGTCACACATAGAGGAGGACCAAGGCGCAGCGTTGAAGGTGAACATATCTTTTATTTACTGATCACACGATCAAAATAATAAACGATAACGTGACGTCTACAGTTTCACACAAACCGAAATGAACAAGAAACCACAAACACAACGTGAAAGACAGATAGTTAAATATGGCTCCCAATCAGAGACAACGAGCCAACAGCTGACACTCGTTACCTCTGATTGGGAGTCACTCAAACAAAGAAATACAATAACCTAGACCCACAACAAAACATAGAAACTAACACCCTGGCTCAACATACGAGAGTCCCCCGAGCCAGGGCATGACAGTACCCCCCCCTAAAGGCGCGGACTCCGACCGCGCCAACGAAACACAACAGGGGAGGGACTGGGTGGGCACTCCGCCTAGGCGGCGGATCCGGCTCCAGTGGAACAGGCACGTGCCGTGCCGGACCGACGACGCACACCACTGGCTTGGTGTGGGGAACAGGCACGGGCCGTGCTGCACTGACGACGCACACCACTGACTTGGTGTGGGGAGCAGGAGCGGGCCGGACAGGGCTGACGAAACGCCCCACAGACTTGGTGCTGGGAGCAGGAATGGGCCGGACCGGGCTGGCGACGCGCAACACAGACCTGGTGCGGAGAGCAGGAACGGGCAGAGCCGGGCTGACGAGACGCACCACAGACTTGACGCGGGGAGCAGGAATGGGCCGGACCGTGCTGGCGACGCGCACCACCGACCTGGCGCGGAGAGCAGGAACGGGCAGAGCCGGGCTGACGAGACGCACCACAGGCTTGATGCGGGGAGCAGGAATGGGCCGGACTGGGCTGGCGACGCGCACCACAGACCTGGTGCGGGGAGCAGGAACGGGCAGAGCCGGGCTGACGAGACGCACCACAGGCTTGATGCGGGGGGCAGGAATGGGCCGGACTGGGCTGGCGACGCGCACCACAGACCTGGTGCGGGGAGCAGGAACGGGCAGAGCCGGGCTGACGAGACGCACCACAGACTTGATGCGGGGAGCAGGAATGGGCCGGACTGGGCTGGCGACGCGCACCGCAGGTTCGGTGCGGGGAGCAGGAATAGACCGGACCGTACTGGGGACACACACCACTGGCTCTACACCGGGATCTGGAACGGGCCGGACCGGACTGGCAACACACGCCAGTACCTCTCGCCGTGCCTCTACTTCCTCCATCCCCTCTTCGACCAGTGGCCCCCGTAACCCGGCGGCCTTCTCCGGCAACCCACTGGGCCGCTCTATCGCGGCCTCCTGCTGGTCCGACGTCGTGAGCCCCCCCCTAAAAAATTTCGGGGCGTCTCTCCTACCCGTGGACCAGGTCTCCATATCCCTCGCCAGCCTCTCGCCCTTCTGCCATAATGTCAAGCCCTTGTCTTCCTCCCTCGGCTTGACCCAGTCCAGGAGGCGAAGGAGATCTGTGAGGGATCTCCCTGGCGATGGCTCCTGGACACGCTGCTTGGTCCCATCTTGGTGGTTTCTTCTGTCACGATCGTCACACATAGAGGAGGACCAAGGCGCAGCGTTGAAGGTGAACATATCTTTTATTTACTGATCACACGATCAAAATAATAAACGATAACGTGACGTCTACAGTTTCACACAAACCGAAATGAACAAGAAACCACAAACACAACGTGAAAGACAGATAGTTAAATATGGCTCCCAATCAGAGACAACGAGCCAACAGCTGACACTCGTTACCTCTGATTGGGAGTCACTCAAACAAAGAAATACAATAACCTAGACCCACAACAAAACATAGAAACTAACACCCTGGCTCAACATACGAGAGTCCCCCGAGCCAGGGCGTGACACTGTGGTAGTACTACTACTATGGTATACACATCAAACTGCTGTTGTGATACTACATTTTACATTTTAGTCATTTAGCAGACGCTCTTATCCAGAGCGACTTACAGGAGCAATTAGGGTTAAGTGCCTTGCTCAAGGGCACATCGACAGATTTTTCACCTAGTCGGCTCGGGGATTAGAACCTAATCGGTTACTGGCACAACACTCTTAACCACTAAGCTTCCTGCCGCCCCAGTATACACATCAATCTGCTGTGGTGATACTACTACTGCAGTACACATCAATACACTACATTTTATTTTGTTGAATGAAATATAAATAATAATAAGGAGAGGATAAAATAATAGTGTGTTAATACTACTACAGAGGATAAATGAATAGTGTGTTAATACTACTACAGAGGATAAATGAATAGTGTGTTAATACTACTACAGAGGATAAATTAATAGTGTGTTAATACTACTACAGAGGATAAATGAATAGTGTGTTAATACTACTACAGAGGATAAATGAATAGTGTGTTAATATTACTATAGAGGATAAATGAATAGTGTGTTAATACTACTACAGAGGATAAATGAATAGTGTGTTAATACTACTACAGAGGATAAATGAATAGTGTGTTAATACTACTATAGAGGATAAATGAATAGTGTGTTAATACTACTACAGAGGATAAATGAATAGTGTGTTAATACTACTATAGAGGATACATTAATAGTGTGTTAATACTACTACAGAGGATAAATGAATAGTGTGTTAATACTACTACAGAGGATAAATGAATAGTGTGTTAATACTACTATAGAGGATAAATGAATAGTGTGTTAATACTACTACAGAGGATAAATGAATAGTGTGTTAATACTACTATAGAGGATAAATGAATAGTGTGTTAATACTACTACAGAGGATAAATGAATAGTGTGTTAATACTACTACAGAGGATAAATGAATAGTGTGATATTACTACTACAGAGGATAAATTAATAATGTGTCAATACTACTACAGGGGATAAATGAATAGGGGATATGAAGTCTATTGGGGCTTAGAGAGCTGTGGTGAGTTGTACATTTGGTAGGGAGAGGGAGGAGGGAATAGTGTGTGACATGAGTACTGAGACTGTAGACATGATAGGACTGACCATGGACACCATGTACTAGTTGTAATAGTATTTTTGGTTTTTATGACACACACACAGACAGACACACACACACACACACACACACACACACACACACACACACACACACACACACACACACACACACACAGCACCAGTTGTGTACTGTATGGTAAGCAGCAGCAGCATACTACCACAGTGTGTTTTGGTTATTATAGTAAACAAAAACTGAAACTAATATAAAAACTAAAATTGGAAAAACTATTTAGTAAACTGAAATAAAATAATTCAGAAAAACATTTGAAAACTCAAACTATGCTGAAACTACTATCTTTGACAGCAAAACTAAATATAAACCATCATATATTATGTTTAGTTTTGTTTCCCTCTAAACTTTGGGGAAAAATCAAATGCGGTTTTCAATATTTATTTCTAATGGGGTTTTCAAGCTTCTGAATCTGGTGGTTAAATGCTGCCAGTAGATGGCAATGTTTCAGTTAGGCCTAGCTTGTGCATCACTTTCACCAGTGGTGTAGTGGAGGATAAACTAAAGTAAACACAGTTTACCCACAAATGTATTGTAGTGTCAGAAGATGGCAGCGTGTGTGGAACAGAGATAAAAGGGAAAGCCCAACCAACCTCAAAGTTCATCTGAACAACGCCCACAAAGAATCATAGAAATAATTTCAGGATAAAGACGAGGTGAGACGAGGTGAGACAGCTACCAGCTATTAGTAGCTGCATGGCAAGAGCAACGTCAGGACAACCAACTGTAGCAGCAACGTCAGGACAACCAACTGTAGCAGCAACGTCAGGACAACCAACTGTAGCAGCAACGTCAGGACAACCAACTGTAGCAGCAACGACAGGACAACCAACTGTAGCAGCAACGTCAGGACAACCAACTGTAACAGCAACGTCAGGACAACCAACTGTAACAGCAACGTCAGGACAACCAACTGTAGCAGCAACGTCAGGACAACCAATTGTAGCAGCAACGTCAGGACAACTAACTGTAGCAGCAACGACAGGACAACCAACTGTAGCAGCAACGTCAGGACAACCAACTGTAACAGCAACGTCAGGACAACCAACTGTAGCAGCAACATCAGGACAACTAACTGTAACAGCAACGTCAAGGCAACCAACTGTAGCAGCAACGTCAGGACAACCAACTGTAGCAGCAACGTCAGGACAACCAACTGTGGCAGCAACATCAGGACAACCAACTGTGGCAGCAACGTCAAGACAACCAACTGTAACAGCAACGTCAGGACAACCAACTGTGGCAGCAACGTCAAGACAACCAACTGTAAAAGCAACGTGAAGACAACCAACTGTAGCAGCAACGTCAGGACAAACAACTGTAGCTGCAACGTCAGGACAACCAACTGTGGCAGCAACGTCAGGACAACCAACTGTAGCAGCAACGTCAGGACAACCAACTGTAGCAGCAACGTCAGGACAACCAACTGTAGCAGCAACGTCAGGACAACCAACTGTGGCAGCAACGTCAGGACAACCAACTGTAGCAGCAACGTCAGGACAACCAACTGTAGCAGCAACGTCAGGACAACCAACTGTGGCAGCAACGTCAGGACAACCAACTGTAGCAGCAACGTCAGGACAACCAACTGTGGCAGTTTGAGTGAAAAGAGCAGAAACAAGGCAACCTAATTCAAATGAGTTTAAAAAAGAGAAGAAGCACTGGTTAATTTGTTCATCCAGTCTGGCAAGTCCACGATACTGTAAGATGAGACAGCCTTCAGAAAATTCAACCAAACACTTGATCCAAAATGTAAAACTCCTGGCGCTGCTAGAGTAAACGTGTTGATTGCTTTGCAAATGGATGCAGCAATCCAGAAATTTAAGGAGATTCTGAAAGAGGCCTGAAAAATAACCCTGTGTGTAGACGGATGGAGCAAGGAAGGACTGACTGCTTCTTTTATGGGCATATCGGCCTGCTTCTATCACATCTCCTCCAACAAGGCATGCGTTGCTCAACCTCCATCGGATTTAGCATCCACCCACCGGAGAGGTAATTGACTGCCCATTGGATTCATGGGACATACCAGAGGAGAAGATCATACTTGTCATAACTGACAACGGAGCGAACATAGTCAATGCTATCAAACTGTTATAGAACAGGCAAGAGAATACATGTGAATGCCAATTTTGATACGTTCAGAAAACAAAGCTCGTATTATAAGGAGGATGGGATCCACCCAAATAATATGGGTTCCTGGATCCTTTCACTGCATTATAAGGCTGCATTGAGACAATGACTTATCAATGACCCAACTCCAGCTCATTTAATCCCTACCATTGTGTTGCTGAGTTGTCATAATGATTCAGCAAATGTACATCATCCTAGGGGCGTTGGAAGACACAATGTAAATAACCTAATTTATGTCCCTCTTACTGCCCGGAATGCCTCTGCTGATCCTACAGCTATTATATGCAGTAATCATATACAGTGGGGAAAAAAAGTATTTAGTCAGCCACCAATTGTGCAAGTTCTCCCACTTAAAAAGATGAGAGAGGCCTGTAATTTTCATCATAGGTACACGTCAACTATGACAGACAAAATGAGAAAAAAAAATCCAGAAAATCACATTGTAGGATTTTTAATGAATTTATTTGCAAATTATGGTGGAAAATAAGTATTTGGTCAATAACAAAAGTTTCTCAATACTTTGTTATATACCCTTTGTTGGCAATGACACAGGTCAAACGTTTTCTGTAAGTCTTCACAAGGTTTTCACACACTGTTGCTGGTATTTTGGCCCATTCCTCCATGCAGATCTCCTCTAGAGCAGTGATGTCCCCCCCCCCCCCCCCCCAAAAAAAAAGTATAGGGTGAATGCACCAATTTGTAAGTCGCTCTGGATAAGAGCGTCTGCTAAATGACGTAAATGTAAATGTAAATGTAAATGTAAATGTTTTGGAGCTGTCGCTGGGCAACACAGACTTTCAACTCCCTCCAAAGATTTTCTATGGGGTTGAGATCTGGAGACTGGCTAGGCCACTCCAGGATCTTGAAATGCTTCTTACGAAGCCACTCCTTCGTTGCCCGGGCGGTGTGTTTGGGATCATTGTCATGCTGAAAGACCCAGCCACGTTTCATCTTCAATGCCCTTGCTGATGGAAGGAGGTTTTCACTCAAAATCTCACGATACATGGCCCCATTCATTCTTTCCTTTACACGGATCAGTCGTCATGGTCCCTTTGCAGAAAAACAGCCCCAAAGCATGATGTTTCCACCCCCATGCTTCACAGTAGGTATGGTGTTCTTTGGATGCAACTCAGCATTCTTTGTCCTCCAAACACGACGAGTTGAGTTTTTACCAAAAAGTTATATTTTGGTTTTATCTGACTATATGACATTCTCCCAATCCTCTTCTGGATCATCCAAATGCACTCTAGCAAACTTCAGACCGGCCTGGACATGTACTGGCTTAAGCAGGGGGACACGTCTGGCACTGCAGGATTTGAGTCCCTGGCGGCGTAGTGTGTTACTGATGGTAGGCTTTGTTACTTTATTCCCAGCTCTCTGCAGGTCATTCACTAGGTCCCCCCGTGTGGTTCTGGGATTTTTGCTCACCGTTCTTGTGATCATTTTGACCCCACGGGGTGAGATCTTGCGTGGAGCCCCAGATCGAGGGAGATTGTCAGTGGTCTTGTATGTCTTCCATTTCCTAATAATTGCTCCCACAGTTGATTTCTTCAAACCAAGCTGCTTACCTATTGCAGATTCAGTCTTCCCAGCCTGGTGCAGGTCTACAATTTTGTTTCTGGTGTCCTCTGACAGCTCTTTGGTCTTGGCCATAGTGGAGTTTGGAGTGTGACTGTTTGAGGTTGTGGACAGGTGTCTTTTAAACTGATAACAAGTTCAAACAGGTGCCATTAATACAGGTATCGAGTGGAGGACAGAGGAGCCTCTTAAAGAAGAAGTTACAGGTCTGTGAGAGCCAGAAATCTTGCTTGTTTGTAGGTGACCAAATACTTATTTTCCACCATAATTTATTAATAATCCTACAATGTGATTTTCTGGAAAAAAAATTCTCAATTTTTCTGTCATAGTTGACATGTAACTATGATGAAAATTACAGGCCTCTCATCTTTTTAAGTGGGAGAACTTGCACAATTGGTGGCTGACTAAATACTTTTTTCCCCCACTGTACCTATGAACCAGAGTAATGCTGTTAGCACTGAGGTGGTGTGCCTAGTAGGAAGTCCACTGTGTGCAGCTCAACCTACACTAATAAAAATAACCCAAGTATGTCTACCTCTGCTAAGCTTCCCAGTAAAGCAAGAAAAATAATCAAGCATCCCAGAAAAGTGTTAAAAATAGCCCACGTTAACATATGTAGCTTGAGAAACAAGGTTCATGAAATCAATAATTTGCTAGTAACAGATGACATTCATATTCTGCCTATCTCTGAAACTCACTTAGATAATACCTTTGATGATACAGTGCTAGCAATACAAGGTTATAACATTTACAGAAAATAGAGAAATGCCAACGGGGCCGGTGTTGCGGTCTATATTCAGAACCACATTCCTGTAAAGCTTAGAGAGGATCTCATGATAAATTCTGTTGAAGTAATATGGCTACAGGTTCACCTGCCTCACCTAAAGCCCATTCAGTGTGAAATGTTTGATAATATATGTGATATCAATAGAGATGTATACTTTCTGTGTGATTTAAATATTGACTGGCTTTCATCAGGCTGCCCACTCAAGAGAAAGCTTCAAACAGTAACTAGTGCCTGCAACCTGGTTCAGCTTATAAATCAACCTACCAGGGTAGTTACAAACAGTACAGGAATGAAATCATCAACATGTGTTGATCATATCTTTACTAATGCTACAGAAATTTGTTTGAAAGCAGTATCCAAATCCATCGGATGTAGTGATCACAATGTATTAGCCATATCTAGGAAAACCAAAGTTCTAAAGGCTGGGCCTAATATTGTGTATAAGAGGTCATACAATAACTTTTGTAGTGATTCCTATGTTGTTGATGTGAGTAATATTTGTTGGCCTGTGTTGTGTAATGACGAGCAACCAGATGCTGCACTTGACATATTTATGAAATAGCTTATCCAAGTTACTAATAAGCATGCATGCATTAAGAAAATGACTGTAAAATCTGTTAGATCCCTGTGGATTGATGAGGAATAGAACATTTGTATGGTTGAGAGGGATGAGGCAAAAGAGATGACAAATAGGTCTGGCTGTACAACCGATTGGCAAATGTACTGCAAATTGAGAAATCATGTGACTAAACTGAATAAAAATAAGAAGAAACTACACCATGAAACAAAGATAAATGACTTAAAGAATGATAGTCAAAAGCTTTGGAGCACCTTAAATGAAATTTAGTCAAAAGCAAACTCCGCTCCATCATTCATTGAATCAGATAGCTCATTCATCACAAAACCCACTGATATTGCCAACTACTTTAATGATTTTTTTCATTGGCAAGATTAGCAAACTTAGGCATGACATGTCAGCAACAAACGCTGACACTACACATCCAAGTATATTTGACCAAATTATGAAAGACAAGCATTGTAATTTTGAATTCTGTAAAGTAAGTGTGGAAGAGGTGAACAAATTATTATTGTCGATCAACAATGACAAGCCACCGGGGTCTGACAACTTGGATGGAAAATACTGAGGATAATAGGAGACGATATTGCCACTTCTATTTGCCATATCTTCAATTTAAGCCTACTAGAAACTGTTTGCCCTCAGGCCTGGAGGGAAGCAAAAGTTATTCCCCTACCTAAGACTAGTAAAGCCCCCTTAACTGGCTCAAATAACCGACCAATCAGCCTGTTACCAACCATTAGTAAACTCTTGGAAAAAATGGTGTTTGACCAGATAAAATGCTATTTTACAGTAAACAAATTGACAACAGACTTTCAGCATGCTTATAGGGAATGACATTCAACAAGCACAGCACTTACACAAATGACTGATGATTGGCTGAGAGAAATTGATGATCAAAATATTGTGGGGGCTGTTTTGTTAGACTTCAGTGTGGCTTTTGACATTATCTATCATAGTCTGTTGAGTAAAGCCAGTGTGTCTATGTATGCAGATGACTCAACACTATATACGTCAGCTACCACAGCGACTGAAATGACAGCAACACTTAACAAAGAGCTGCAGTTAGTTTCAGAATGGGTGGCAAGGAATAAGTTAGTCCTAAATATTTCAAAAACTAAAAGCATTGAATTTGGGACAAATACCTGGACTACTGTTCAGTCGTGTGGTCAGGTGCCACAAAGAGGGACTTAGGAAAATTGCAATTGGCTCAGAACAGGGCAGCACGGCTGGCCCTTGGATGTACACAGAGAGCTAACATTTATAATATGCACGTCAATCTCTCCTTGCTCAAAGTGGAGGAGAGATTGACTTCATCACTACTTGTATTTGTGAGAGGTATTGACATGTTGAATGCACCAAGCTGTCTGTCTGTACGACTGGCACACAGCTCAGACACCCATGCATACCCCACAAGACATGCCACCAGAGGTCTCTTCACAGTCCCCAAGTCAAGAACAGACTATGGGAGGCGTACAGTAGTACATAGGGCCATGACTACATGAAACTCTATTCCACATCAAGTAACTCATGCCAGCAGTAAAATTAGATTTTAAAAACCAGATAAAAATACACCTTATGGAACAGCAGGGACTGTGAATCAACACAAACATAGGCACATGCATAAAAACACATGATAACATACGCACTATACACACATGTACACATGGATTTTGTGTTATAGATATGTGGTAGTAGAGCAGAGGCCAGAGGGCACCTTAATATGTTGTGAAATCTGTTGTGAATGTATTGTAATGTTTTTAAAATGTATAACTGCCTTAATTTTGATGGACCCCAGGAAGAGGCAGCAGCTAATGGGGATCCATAATAAATACAAAAAAAATGCAGTAAGGGGAAAAACTGTATGAAACCTTCTACTCTTCAGTTAACACACACACACACACACACACACACTCCATCCCTCACACACTCTGGTCTCCCTCTCTTTCATAAACACAGACACACACCACTCTGTCCGAAACGTACAAACACTGCTCCCAACTTTAAATAAAAAGCCACTCTAAAATGTGCAGTTTTGACACAACACAATACCACAGATGTCCACACAAAACATGAAACATGACGTAATACAGAACATTAATAGACAAGAACAGCTCAAGGATAGAACTACATACAATTTTTAGGGGGAGGGGCGATGTGCCGTGAGGTGTTGCTTCATCTGATTTTTTAGGGGAGAGGCAATGTGCCGTGAGGTGTTGCTTTATCTGATTTTTTAAACCAGGTTTGCTGTTTATTTGAGCAATATGAGATGGAACGGAGTTCCATGCAATAATGGCTCTATATAATACTGTACGCTTTCTTGAATTTGTTCTGGATTTGGGGACTGTGAAAACACCCCTGGTGGAATGTCTGGTGGGGTAAGTGTGTGTGTCAGAGCTGTGTGTAAGTTGACTATGCAAACAATTTGGGATTTTCAACACATAAATGTTTCTTATAAAAAGAAGTGATGCAGTCAGTCTCTCCTCAACTCTTAGCCAAGAGAGACTGGCATGCATAGTATTAAATGCTTTGCTTTATCTTGGCCAGGTCGCAGTTGTAAATGAGAACCTGTTCTCAACTGGCTTACCTGGTTAAATAAAGGTGAAATAAAAAAATAAAAATAAAAATATCAGCCCTCTGATTACAATGAAGAGCAAGACGTGACACTCTGTTTTGGGCCAGCTGCAGCTTAACTAGGTCTTTCCTTGCAGCACTGGACCACACGACTGGACAATAACCAAGATTAGACAAAAATAGAGCCTGCAGAACTTGCTTTTGGAGTGTGGTGTCAAAAAAGCAGAGCATCTCTTTATTACGGACAGACCTCTCCCCATCTTTACAACCATTGAATCTATATGTTTTGACCATGATAGTTTACAATCTAAGGTAACGCCTAGTAATTTAGTCTCCTTAACTTGTTCAACAGCCACACCATGCATTTCCAGATTCAGCTGAGGTCTAGAACTTAGGGACTGATTTGTACCAAATACAACGCTCTTAGTTTTAGAGATGTTCAGGACCAGTTTATTAGTGGCCACCCATTCCAAAACAGACTGCAACTCTTTGTTAAGGGTTTTGTTGACTTCATTAGCTGTGGTTGCTGATGCGTATGTGGTTGAATCATCAGCATACGTGGATACACATGCTTTGTTTAATGCCAGTGGCAGGTCATTGGTAAAAATAGAAAAGAGTAGAGGGCCTAGAGAGCTGCCCTGTGGTACACCACACTTTACATATTTGACATTAGAGAAGCTTTTTGAGTTCTATTAGATAGATAGCTCTGAATCCACGGTATGGCAGAGATTGAAAAGCCATAACACATACGTTTTTTTCAACAACAGGTTATGGTCAATAATATCAAAGGCTGCACTGAAATCTAACAGTAAAGCTCCCACAATCTTCTTATTATCAATTTCTTTCAACAAATCATCAGTCATTTATGTGAGTGCAGTACATGTTGAGTGCCCTTCCCTATAAGCATGTTGGAAGTCTGTTGTTTATTTGTTTACAGAGAAAAAGCATTGTATTTGGTCAAACACCATTTTTTACAACAGTCTGCTAAGAGCTGGCAGCAAGCTTATAGGTCTACTGTAAGAACCAGTAAAGGCCGCTTTACCATTATTGGGTAGAGGAATTACTTTGGCTTCCCTCCAGGCCTGAGGACAAAGACTTTCCTCTAGGCTCAGATTAAAGATATGACAGATAGGAGTGGCTATAGCGTCAGCTACCAACCTCAGTAGCTTTCCATCTAAGTTGTCAATGCCAGGAGGTTTGTCATTATTGATCGATAACAATAATTTCTCCACCTCTCCTACACTAACTTTACAAAATTCAAGATGAGTCAGATGAGTCACAGCAAAATCTTTTGTATGATCTCTTATACACTATTTTAGGCCCAGCTGTTGGAACTTTGGCTTTCCTGGATATAGCCACTATATTGTGATCACTGCATCCAATGGGTACGGATACAGCTTTAGAACAAAGTTCTACAGTATTAGTAAAAATGTGATCGATACATGTGGATGATCTTGTTCCTGTAGTGTTTGTAAACACCCTGGTAGGTTGATTAATAACCTGAACCAGATTACAGGCACTGGTTACAGTAAGAAACTTCCTCTTGAGTGGACAGCTTGATGAAAACCAGTCAATATTCAGGTCCCCAAGAAAGTAGACCTCTCTGCTTACATCACATACACTATCAAGCATTTCACACATATTATTTAAATACTGACTGTTCGCACTTGGTGGCCTATAGCAACACCCCAAAAGAAAAGGCTTTAGATGTGGCAAGTGAACCTGCAACCACAACACTTCAATAACACTTGAAGTAAGATCTTCTCTAAGCACTACAGGGATATGGCTCTGAATATATACAGCAACACCTCCCCCATAAGCATTTCTGTCTCTTCTATGGATGTTATATTCTTGTATTGCTACTGCTGTATCATCAAATAAATTATCTAAGTGAGTCTCAGAAATTGCTAATATATTAATGTTATCTGATGTTAGCAAGTTATTGATTTCATTAACCTTATTTCTAAGGCTACATACAGTATATGGATTTGGGCTATTTTCAGCCTTTTCCTGGGTAGCTTATCAGAGATAGACATAATACTGGAAAGAGCAAACAAAGCAAGATAAAAATATATATATATATTCAGCAGTCCATTAATCAATTGGTGTGTGTGTGTGTGCTGCAGGATTGAAGCTACAAACCCATAGGCTTGGCTCTCTCATCCCTTCCAGGCTTCTGGGAGGGAGGGTGGACAATGAGCCTGTCATAGTGGATGTAAAGCAATGTCCCCACGCGCTCTGGCAGCTTTCATGGCAGGGATAGGTTCTTTCCTCTTCTGGCGCACAGCTTCAGGATAGTCCTCATTGAAGAAGATATATGTTCCTCTCAATTTCTTGGCTCTTTCCAGAACAGCTACCTTGTCCTTGAACCTCAGGATCTTGACACTATCGGCCTGGGCCTGTCACCTGATAGCTTTCATGGCTGGGATAGGTTCAATAGTTTGGCATTAGTTAGCAGCAGCTAATGGGGATCTGTTATGATGAGTTTCTTGGGTATCAAGTAATATTCAACACTTAGATGGAGAGTTCGTAGAAATATTTAATATTCGGTACCGGGTTCATCTAGCAAAAGCCGCATACTCTGCCTCTTGCCATTCCGAACTACTGAACAAAGAAAATATCTCAGTTTATATACCTTCTGTTACAAGTTTCTTCAACAACATCTGTTAACCCTCAGTGGGAACTCCCTCCTTTGATGTTATTACCTTGTACCCCAAGTCAGTATATCATGTCCATCAATCATTCTAAGATAAACCCCATGTAATCTCCCTCGACATAATGGAATCCTTGGTATTCAGACTGTGCGGCGCCCAGAATACCTCATCTACTAAATTTTACCTGGTTCCCACCACACTGTGAAATGACATCATAACAGGATCCATAATAAATACAAATACAAACAACAACCAGAGCTGGCCATAGCTTTGAACGGCACGGCAGAAATGATTCAGACACTGATGATTATCCTTTTAAATCCAAGTCACATTAAAATTGATTTATAATTTAAACATAACCAAACCTATGACCTGACCCATCACCTTATGTATTACTGCCCCCCAGTGGCAAGAAGTGACATCCCCCCCAAAAAACACCACATAAATGGCTCCTCCCACACATAGCTTACTTTCTAACACTAAAACTAAAACTGAAACTAAATAATATAAAAACGAAATAGAAATGATTTTATAAAAATCTAACTAAATAAAAACTAGAAAATCAATTCTGAAAACAATCTGAAATTCAAATATATATAGAAATAAAAACTAATAGAAAATCACAAAACTATAATAACCTTGGTTTCACGTTACTAAGAGAGCATTCATTTATTTGGCTGATAAAGAGGCAATTTTCTCCCTCAGTGATGGTAGCACAGTGAGGGACAGCAGCCATTTTCTCCAGTGAGGGGAATGAATGAGGAGGATGACTGGAATGAGTGAGATATGTTCAAATTAGTCTGGTGACTGCTCAGTGCGTCTCCGTAGCCGAGACGACGCCGGTGGATTTGTGGTATGCTTCTTTGAATAGTTAAATAGCGAGCGTTTCATCCAATAACATTACACCACGCCGGCATTCTTCCCAGCCCTGCTTCAGCATCTGTTTAGACATTTTGCCATTGGCAAGCAGTGGTCACATGGCAAGCAGTGGTCACATGGCAAGCAGTGGTCACATGGCAAGCAGTGGTCACATGGCAAGCAGTGGTGATATTTTCATAAAATGGACTTGTTTAAATACCCATAAATCATTAATGTATGCAGTGATGCCACTGTTGCCGCCTCGCCGTCTTTGAGTCCGTAATCTTTTTTAAAAATCATTATTTCTGCCGCCAAGTGCGAAAACCGTATTCACCACGGTTATAGACAATCTGATAAATAATAAATCAATAGATAAATAATAAATCAATGGATAAATCACCGGGGCACAGAACGATGCTGGAAGAGTTAAGTGATTTCATTTTGCACATAGACACCCACCTGCACACCACATACTTCAATCCCCTTTCTAATTATCTTTGTTGAACCATTTTTATTTCACTCACTCTGGAAGAAGTGGCCATGTTGTCTGGTCCCAGCTGTATGTGTGGGAGAGAATGAGATGCAGAGAGATGATGAAGACTCGTCGGTTCCCGCAGAATAAACACTAGCAGGCCCCAGAGAGGGAGAAACTACAGCACCGGAGTTTTACGGTTTATTGAAAAAGGGAATATCGACTTCCGTCCTCACTCACCCATCAATCTGGTTACAATGAATGACTCCAGCGTCGCACGCACGCACACACACACACAGACAGACAGACACACACACACACACACACACACACACACACACACACACACACACACACACACACACACACACACACACACACACACACACACAGACAGACAGACACACACACACACACCAATTCTTGTATTTAGACTTCAATTATTTCAAAACGAGGCCATTGCTGCTTTTATCATCATGCAGTGAATGTTTCTCAAGCTCGTCTCCTTTCACTGAGAGGTGCTCCAATGTGACCTACATTCACTGAGGAGGTCTGCATGTTTTACAGGAGCCCGCGGTTCATGGCGGAATGCTTTGTGTACATTATACATGAGCACAACTGTAGTTACAACGGCAATTGGGTAAAGGACACACTCTTTGTGTGGAGTGTTCCTTCCAACCCTTGTTGAATTATTCTGCCTGTTTAACCATGTGTATGGCACCTGCTCTAGCTGCGCCTCATGCCCAGTCGTTTTGCCTCTCCCAGTCCACTCCTTTGTCTCCCAGTCCACTCCTCTGTCTCCCAGCCCACTCTGTCTCCCAGTCCACTCCTCTGTCTCCCAGCCCACTCCTTTGTCTCCCAGCCCACTCCTCTGTCTCCCAGCCCACTCCTCTGTCTCCCAGCCCACTCCTCTGTCTCCCAGCCCACTCCTCTGTCTCCCAGTCCACTCTGTCTCCCAGTCCACTCCTCTGTCTCCCAGCCCACTCCTCTGTCTCCCAGTCCACTCCTTTGTCTCCCAGCCCACTCTGTCTCCCAGCCCACTCCTTTGTCTCCCAGCCCACACTGTCTCCCAGTCCACTCCTTTGTCTCCCAGCCCACTCCTTTGTCTCCCAGCCCACTCCTCTGTCTCCCAGCCCACTCCTCTGTCTCCCAGTCCACTCCTTTGTCTCCCAGCCCACTCTGTCTCCCAGTCCACTCCTCTGTCTCCCAGCCCACTCCTCTGTCTCCCAGCCCACTCCTCTGTCTCCCAGCCCACTCCTCTGTCTCCCAGCCCACTCCTTTGTCTCCCAGCCCACTCTGTCTCCCAGTCCACTCCTTTGTCTCCCAGCCCACTCCTCTGTCTCCCAGTCCACTCCTTTGTCTCCCAGCCCACTCCTTTGTCTCCAGCCCACTCTGTCTCCCAGTCCACTCCTCTGTCTCCCAGCCCACTCCCCTGTCTCCCAGCCCACTCTGTCTCCCAGTCCACTCCTCTGTCTCCCAGTCCACTCCTCTGTCTCCCAGCCCACTCCTTTGTCTCCCAGCCCACTCTGTCTCCCAGCCCACTCCTCTGTCTCCCAGCCCACTCCTTTGTCTCCCAGCCCACTCCTCTGTCTCCCAGCCCACTCCTCTGTCTCCCAGCCCACTCCTCTGTCTCCCAGCCCACTCCTCTGTCTCCCAGCCCACTCTGTCTCCCAGCCCACTCCTTTGTCTCCCAGCCCACTCTGTCTCCCAGCCCACTCCTCTGTCTCCCAGCCCACTCCTCTGTCTCCCAGTCCACTCCTCTGTCTCCCAGCCCAATCTGTCTCCCAGCCCACTCCTCTGTCTCCCAGCCCACTCCTCTGTCTCCCAGCCCACTCTGTCTCCCAGCCCACTCCTCTGTCTCCCAGCCCACTCCTCTGTCTCCCAGCCCACTCCTCTGTCTCCCAGCCCACTCCTCTGTCTCCCAGCCCACTCCTCTGTCTCCCAGTCCACTCCTCTGTCTCCCAGCCCACTCCTTTGTCTCCCAGCCCACTCTGTCTCCCAGCCCACTCCTCTGTCTCCCAGTCCACTCCTTTGTCTCCCAGCCCACTCCTCTGTCTCCCAGCCCACTCCTCTGTCTCCCAGCCCACTCTGTCTCCCAGCCCACTCCTCTGTCTCCCAGCCCACTCCTCTGTCTCCCAGCCCACTCTGTCTCCCAGTCCACTCCTCTGTCTCCCAGCCCACTCCTCTGTCTCCCAGCCCACTCTGTCTCCCAGCCCACTCCTCTGTCTCCCAGCCCACTCCTCTGTCTCCCAGTCCACTCCTCTGTCTCCCAGCCCACTCCTCTGTCTCCCAGCCCACTCCTCTGTCTCCCAGTCCACTCCTCTGTCTCCCAGCCCAATCTGTCTCCCAGCCCACTCCTCTGTCTCCCAGCCCACTCCTCTGTCTCCCAGCCCACTCCTCTGTCTCCCAGCCCACTCTGTCTCCCAGCCCACTCCTCTGTCTCCCAGCCCACTCTGTCTCCCAGCCCACTGTCTCCCAGCCCACTTTGTCTCCCAACCCACTCTGTCTTCCAGCCCACTCTGTCTCCCAGCCCACTCTGTCTCCCAGCCCACTCCTCTGTGAGTGCCCTCATAGAACTAGAGGGGGGAAAGTAGGAGGAGGAAGAGCAGGAAGAGGAGGAGGGGAGCTCACAGGACCCCATCACGGCTGAGCACGTTTAAAAAGCTCCACTTGAAATATTACAGCTTCTCACTGAAAGAAACAGGTCAAACGTTGCTCCGAAAAATGAAAGCAGAAGAGAGACAGAGAGAGAGAGAAAAAGAGAGAGAGAGAGAGAAAGAGAGTCGGAGAGGTCTGTAAAATTCTGTTCTCGGTATGACACAGAAGTCAAACAACGGCAACTCTGAAGTCTCTTGAAATGTGTCAGAGCGCCGGGCTGCCTGTGTTTTGTCTCCACAGGCAGTCTTTGAAGTGTAATTCACCTCAGTGGATGTGATGGAGCCTGGTTGGGACGTGCCTCAACAGGCTGTAGGGCTGAGAAGCGAGCGCAGTTGGTGGGACACTCCAGAGTGAGTGGAGAAGAGAAGGAGAGAAGGAGAGAAGGAGACACTGTACTCTAGGTCTGGGAGGAGAGCTCTCAGGTGCCGCCAATCCGTTAAGTGGACTACAATGGAGCCACAGCCATCGTGAATAATAGAAATAGCAAAAGCTGCACTCTCCTCAGGAAAGGGAGGCGGTTCAAAAATGTCCATAGCCACCTACTGTGCTACCTTAGATTAGCTAGCTGTCCCCTAACAGAGAAGAGAGGGTTTCCCCTTTTTCCCTGTTAGCGTTTCGCTATTAACCCAGTCTGCTATGATGATATCGCTAATGGCGTTTTCAAAGCAATGTTAGATAAATGACTGCTTAGCAGGATTGCCTCTGTGTAGTCAAACGCATTTCATCAAGTCTGTTGGACCACAGCTCGCAATGACTCACTGTGTTTGATGTGAGTGTTCAGAGAGAGGTCCCCTGTGACACGAAGTAAATCTCTGAAGGCTTACTTATACTTATATTTATATTTATAAAATATAATATAATATATTACAGTATATTTGTATACTATGTGTACACAGGCTAATTTGTTGATACACTACATGACCAAAAGTATTATGGACATCTGCTCATCGAACATCTCATTCCAAATTCATGGAAATTAATATGGAGTTGGTCCCCCCTTTGCTGCTATAACAGCCTCCACTCTTCTGGGAAGGCTTTCCACTAGATGTTGGAACATTGCTGCGGGGACTTGCTTCCATTTAGCCATAAGAGCATTAGTGAGGTCGGGCACTGATGTTGGGCGATAAGGCCTGGCTCGCAGTCGGCGTTCAAATTCATCCAAAAGGTGTTCGATGGGGTTGAGGTCAGGGCTCTGTGCAGGTCAGTCAAGTTCTTAAACACCGATCTCAACAAAACATTTCTTTATGGACCTCGCTTTGTGCACGGGGGCTTTGTCATGCTGAAACAGGAAAGGGCACTCCCCAAACTCTTGCCACAAAGTTGGAAGCACAGAATCGTCTAGAATATCATTGTATGCTGTAGCATTTAGATTTCCCTTCACTGGAGCTAAGGAGCCTGAACCATGAAAAACAGCCCCAGACCATATGAAACCGCAAATGCGAGCGGTTTCATATGACAGAGATGAAAATATCCTTCAAAAGTGTAGAGAGAAGACCTAAAGACTCAACAACACGATCGTGTCTTTGGCTGCTGGAAGAAACGAAAGAAAGTTGAGAATATGAGAGAAATATGAGGAAGTGTTTAAAAAAAATTATATTAACATTTCTATGGTCAGAACATGGTAATACATGCCTCATAAAATGACAACAAAAAAAAAACGTCCACGTTTTAAGTAATTACATTTATGGTTAAATATACTAAACAAAAATATAAATGCAACATGCAACAATTTTAGCGATTTTACTGAGTTACAGTTCATATATGGAAATCAGTCACTTGAAAGGAATTAATTAGGCCCTAATCTATGGATTTCACATGAATGGGCGGGGCGCAGTCATTGATGGGTCTGGGAGGGCAAAGGTCCAGCCACTCCAGAGCCAGGCCCACCCAATCAGAATGACTTTTTCCTCACAAAAAGGGCTTTATTACAGACAGCAATAATCCTCAGATTCATCAGCTGTCCAGGTGGCTGGTCTCAGACGATCCTGCAGCTGAAGAAGCCGGATGTGGAGGTCCTGATCTGCGTGGTCTGTGCTTATGGTTTTTCTGGCAGCAGCTCTGGTGGACATTCCTGCAGTCAGCATGCCAATTGCACACTCCCTCAAAACTTGAGACCTCTGTGGCATTATGTTGTGTGACAAAACTGCACGTTTTAGAGTGGCCTTTTATTGTCCCCAGCACAAGGTGCACCTGTGTAATGATCATGCTGTTTAATCAGCTTTTTGATATGCCACACCTGTTAGATGGATGGATTATCTTGGCAAAGGAGAAATACTCACTAACAGGGATGTAACTAAATTTGTTCAAAAAAATTGAGAGAAATAAGCTTTTTGTGCGCATGGGAAATTTCAGGGATATTTTATTTCAGCTCATAAAACATGGGACCAACACTTTAAATGTTGCGTTTTTATATTTTTGTTCAGTATAATTTCAAAATGTTTACTGCCTCCAGTCAGATTGCAAGGTGGGCATTGACCCCCCCCCCCCCCCCCCCCCCCCCCCATTTTTACCCTGCTGCTACTCTCTGTTTATTATCTATACATAGTCACTTTACCTCTGCCTACATGTACATAATACCTTAATTACCTCGACTGTACCGGTACCCCCTGTATGTAGCCTCGTTACTGTTATTTTATTGTTGCTCTTTAATTATTATTATTTGTTATTTTTCTATTTTCTTCTTTTTTTGTTTTTATTTTAATTTAATTTTAACTCAGTTTTAGAAATACTTTCTTAACACATGTTGTTCTTAAAATGTCATTGTTGGTTAAGGGCTTGTAAGTAAGCATTTCACTGTAATGTGACAAATAGAATTTGATTTCATTTGATTATTTATATAAATGTAATACATTTATGTTTTTCTTAACAGAATAGCTAGATTTTCAGTTTTCAAATCAATTTTATTGGCTATTTGGTAAATGGCCTTGGTGCCCTGGCAGATAGCCTTGGTGCCCTGGCAGATGGCCTTGGTGCCTTAGCAGATGGCCTTGGTGCCCTGGCAGATGGCCTTGGTGCCTTAGCAGATGGCCTTGGTGCCCTGGCAGATGGCCTTGGTGCCTTAGCAGATGGCCTTGGTGCCTTAGCAGATGGCCTTGGTGCCCTGGCAGATGGCCTTGGTGCCCTGGCAGATGGCCTTGGTGCCCTGGCAGATGGCCTTGGTGCCTTAGCAGATGGCCTTGGTGCCCTGGCAGATGGCCTTGGTGCCCTGGCAGATGGCCTTGGTGCCCTGGCAGATGGCCTTGGTGCCTTAGCAGATGGCCTTGGTGCCCTGGCAGATGGCCTTGGTGCCCTGGCAGATGGCCTTGGTGCCCTGGCAGATGGCCTTGGTGCCCTGGCAGATAGCCTTGGTGCCCTGGCAGATGGCCTTGGTGCCCTGGCAGATGGCCTTGGTGCCCTGGCAGATGGCCTTGGTGCCCTGGCAGATGGCCTTGGTGCCCTGGCAGATGGCCTTGGTGCCTTAGCAGATGGCCTTGGTGCCCTGTCAGATGGCCTTGGTGCCTTAGCAGATGGCCTTGGTGCCCTGGCAGATGGCCTTGGTGCCCTGGCAGATGGCCTTGGTGCCCTGGCAGATGGCCTTGGTGCCTTAGCAGATGGCCTTGGTGCCCTGGCAGATGGCCTTGGTGCCTTAGCAGACGGCCTTGGTGCCCTGGCAGATGGCCTTGGTGCCCTGGCAGATGGCCTTGGTGCCCTGGCAGATGGCCTTGGTGCCTTAGCAGATGGCCTTGGTGCCCTGGCAGATGGCCTTAGATGGCCTTGGTGCCCTGGCAGATGGCCTTGGTGCCCTGGCAGATGGCCTTGGTGCCTTAGCAGATGGCCTTGGTGCCTTAGCAGATGGCCTTGGTGCCCTGGCAGATGGCCTCTGTTTCCTTTTTGCCCCAGCCATAGCCAGTAGTTCAGGCCTAACTTATATGTATATATGATTGGACAAAGCCATCGCTCACGTGACACCATTCATTCCTTTGTGAAGATTCAATAGCGCATTGAAGCAAAATAAAGTCGGTAAAGATGATGTCTCATGGAGACATAACATGCGCAGTTTGAGGTACTCCAGGAAGTGATGTTGCAGGCTAGCTCAGTGCTGCCTCCTCTCATTGAGTAACTCAAGTTTAAGACCGACCGGGGTACTGCAGGCTGCCATTAGCCTAAAGAAAAATCCTTATAACTTCTTCTGAACTTCTTCCAATTTTAAAATACATACTGTACATCAGGTTTATTAGAAGCAATTGTCTTCAATTTTCCAATTTTTGTTTACACTAAGATTGACCATGAAGAATGCAATTTTTCCATTCACATGTTTACTGCTAACAATGTCTGCAGTGCCGCGGTCGGCCTTGAACTTCCATGGCTTCAATGAGAGAGGGCAGTCATCCTCCCCTGAGCCTAGTATATCCTCATCCTCCCCACATAGGGAGAACTGACCAATGAGAGATGGGAAGGCATCTGCTCCGTGGCCAATGGAAAAGCAGGCTACTTTCTCAGTGTGATTGGGTGAGGTGATGCACACTGTGAGATGTGAGAGCACTGTGGCTTGTCTTCAACCATTACTCAACATACTGTGCCGGGATTTGGGTGAACTATCCCTTTATGCATCAAATAGATTTCATGTGTCCCTCCTCAAAATACGAATAACCTTATCTCAAAGCATTTTGTTCACATAGGCGAAAGTCATTTGGAGTTTGGAAATTGGTGCCATTAATAATTTGCAATAAATGATTACTACTAGGGTTTAATGGATCGCCAAAACATTATCGTTGAATGTTGAAATTAATAACGCACGCATGATGTAAAGAATTATGATGATGATGATGATGTTGTCAGCAACGCAGAAGTAATTATAATTTGTGTAATAATAATTAAAATGCTACTGACGCTGATGATGCGTCCACTTAAACGGCAGTGATTACATTTCTGCCCTTTATCCATCTCTGTGCATTAAAGTGTGATATCTTTGTCTTTTTTAATTAAAATTCTATGTTCCCGCTGATAATGTCGAGTCCAGTGAATGGTATCAAGATGATATTCAGCAATGTTTAATGTAGTATTTCAACCAGAAAACCTATATTGAGGCAAAGGCAGAGAGCTTAGCTGGTATGCCATCTGTCTGCATATTTATATCTAAGGCAATAGGCAAGTGTGCTCCATATTCATCTTTCTCCATGCCTCAGAAAAAAACTATGGCATTGGTGTCATAATTCAGCTGTGGAGGCATTTGATTAGGCAATAAAATGGGCAACTGTTGTCTTTGACTGGCAAATATCAACCAATAAGCAATTACCACTCATTATAAAATGAAAATAGGACCTGCAATGCCTTTCCAAAGCTATTGTTTCATTATTTAAGTTAAGTGTGGATTTGCGAATCTCAGCCTATGATTGCTGTTTGTGGGTGTGTGTGTGTATGTGTGCGTGTGTGCACATGCAATTGCATGTGTGTGTGTGTGCTGATGTGTACATGAAAGTATGTGTGTGTGTGTGTGTGTTTGCGCACGCATGTGAGTGTGTGTGTAGGACAGGCATAAACCCCAGCCCACCTGACCTTTATGTTCCAGCAGATCTTGTTGTAATAGGTCAATGAGACCTTTGCGGGAGCTGTCTTAATGACAAGAGGCTGTTTAACAGTCTCTACACAGGGCCAGTCACTCCTGAGAACAAGGATCTACCACTCTGCCCCTCTGCTACACTCTCTCTCTCTGTGTTCTCTACCCTGCCCTCCCTCTCTCTCTCTCTCTCTCTCTCTCTCTCTCTCTCTCTCTCTCTCTCTCTCTCTCTCTCTCTGTGCCTATCTCTCCATCTACTGTTTTTCTCTCCCTCTACTCTCTCTCTGCTCCCCTGCCCTCCCTCTTCTCCTATGCCTCTCATTTCGCCGCTCTTTTCCACCACTGCCTTTCCTTGAAACCCCTGAAAACGCCCCTGAAAAAGCCCCTGAAAATCCCCTGAAAACGCCCCCGAAAACGCACCTGAAAACGCAGCTGAAAACGCAGCTGAAAACGCCCCTGAAAACACCCCCGGAAACGCCCCCAGAAACGTCCCTGAAAATGCCCCTGAAAACACCCCTGAAAGTGCCCCTAAAAACACCCCTGAAAACGCCCCTGAAAACACCCCTGAAAACACCCCTGAAAACAAACGTTTTTTTTTAGATGTGAGAAAATCCCTAGCTGCCACCTTGTAACTTGCTATGGCAATGTTTATGTTTAATATGTGTTTTTTGTTCATCCATGATTGTAAGAAGTATCAATGAGTTGGACGTTGCTTTATGTGAAAATGTTTATTGTTGCACAACCCATCTGAATAATGCAGTACAAAATGTTCAAAACATCTCTGCACACACACAGTTTAGCAGATTGATTGTAAGACCCGATGCAATCGCACACCGCCAATTGGTGAGAGGTATAAATAGTCTTAAAACCAACAGAAATGAGATGTTTAATGAATGTTTTTATCTGGTGTACCTGTCAACTCAACTGTAAAACACAATCTGTTGTCGTAGAGACAAGATAAGTCAACAGTCATCATAAAACAGAGTTTCTTACTTCATATTTTTTCTGAGGCTAGCCTCCGAATTGAATAAGTGTTGCTATGGCAACCAAAGCCTCCTTATCCCACGTCAGTGAGGGGCGGGGAGGGAGAGGGAGAGAGAAGGAGAGAGAGAGAGAGAGAGGGGAGAGCGAGGGGAGAGAGAGAGAGCGAGAGAGAGAGAGAGGAGAGAGAGGAGAGAGAGAGAGAGAGAGAGAGCGAAGAGGAGAGAGGAGAGAGAGCAGAGAGGATAGAGAGAGTAGAGGAGGAAGAGCGAGGCTAGAGAGATAGGAGAGGCGAAGAGCGAGAGAGAGAGAGAGCGAGAGAAGCGATAGCTAGTCCAGAGATGAGCACCCTCTCATATCTCCCTCTCCTAGCTCTCTCTCGCTCTCTCCTCTCTCTCCTCTCTGCTCTCTATCGTCTCTCTCCTTCTCTCTCTCTCTCTGTCTCTCTCTCTCTCTATCTCCCTCTCTCTCTCTCTCGCTCTCTCTCTCTCTCTCTCAATTTCATTTAAGGGCTTTATTGGCATGGGAAACATATGTTAACATTGCCAAAGCAAGTGAAGTAGATCGTTGAAAAAGGTGAAATAAACAATAAATATTAACAGTAAACATTAGACTCAGAAGTTCCAAAAGAATAAAGACATTTCAACAATGTGCAAATAGTTAAAGTACAAATGGGAAATAAATAAACATAAATATGGGTTATATTTACAATGGTGTTTGTTCTTCACTGGTTGCCCATTTCTTGTGGCAATAGGTCACATGGCACACTGTGGTGTTTCACCCAGTAGATAAGGGAGTTTATCAAAATTGGGTTTGTTTTTTAATTCTTTGTGGATCTCTGTAATCTGAGGGAAATATGTGTCTCTAATATGGTCATACATTTGGCAGGAGGTTAGGAAGTGCAGCACAGTTTCCACCTCATTTTGTGGGCAGTTTGCACATAGCCTGTCTTCTCTTGAGAGCCAGGTCTGCCTACGGCGGCCTTTCTCAATAGCAAGGCTATGCTCACTGAGTCTGTACATAGTCAAAGCTTTCCTTAATTGTGGGTCAGTCACAGTGGTCAGGTATTCTGCCACGATGTACTCTCTGTTTAGAGCAAATAGCATTCTAGTTTCTAGTCTAGCATGCTCAGTTTTTTTTGTTAATTCTTTCCAATGTGTCAAGTAATTATCTTTTGTTTTCTCATGATTTAGTTGGGTGTAATTGTGTTGCTGTCCTGGGGCTCTGTGGGGTCTGTTTGTGTTTGTGAACAGAGCCCCAGGACCAGCTTACTTAGGGGACTCTTCTCCAAGTTCATCTCTTTGTAGGTGATGCCTTTGTTATGGAAGGTTTGGGAATCGCTTCCTTTTAAGTGGTTATAGAATTTAACAACTCTTTTCTGGATTTTGATCATTAGCGGGTATCGGCCTACTTCTGCTCTGCTTGCATTATTTGGTGTTTTTCGTTGTACACAGAGGATATTTTTGCTGAATTCTGCATGCGGAGTCTCAATTTGGTGTTTGTCCCATTTTGTGAATTCTTGGTTGGTGAGCGGACCCCAGACCTCACAACCATAAAGGGCAATGGGTTCTATAACTGATTCAAGTATTTTTAGCCAGATCCTAATTGGTATGTCAAATGTTATGTTCCTTTTGATGGCATAGAGGGCCCTTGCCTTGTCTCTCAGATCATTCACAGCTTTGTGGAAGTTACCTCTGGCGCTGATGTTTAGGCTGAGGTATGTATAGTTTTTTGTGTGCTCTAGGGCAACGGTGTCTAGATGAATTTGTATTTGTGGTCCTGGCAACTGGACCTTTTTTGGAACACCATTATTTTTGTCTTACTGAGATTTACTGTCAGGGCCCAGGTCTGACAGAATCTGTGCAGAAGATCTAGGTGCTGCTGTAGGCCTTCCTTGGTTGGGGACAGAAGCACCAGATCATCAGCAAACAGTAGACATTTTACTTGAGATTCTAGTAGGGTGAGGCTGGGTGCTGCAGACTGTTCTAATGCCCTTGCTAATTTGTTGATATATATGTTGAAGAGGGTGGGGCTTAAGCTCCATCCCTGTCTCAACCCACAGCCCTGTGGAAAGAAATGTGTGTGTTTCTTGCCCATTTTTACTGCACACTTGTTGTTTGTGTACATGGATTTTATAATGTTGTATGTTTTTCCCCCAACACCACTTTCCATCAATTTGTATAGCAGACCACATGCCAAATTGAGTCAAAAGCTTTTTTGAAATCAACAAAGCATGAGAAGACTTTGCCTTTGTTTTGGTTTGTTTGTTTGTCAATTAGGGTGTTCAGGGTGAATACATGGTCTGTCGTACGGTAATTTGGTAAAAAGCCAATTTGACATTTGCTCAGTACATTTTTTTTCACAGAGAAAATGTAAGAGTCTGTTGTTAATGATAATGCAGAGGATTCTCCCAAGGTTGCTGTTGACGCATATCCGACGGCAGTTATTGGGGTCAAATTTGTCTCCACTTTTGTGTATTGGGTGGTCAGTTCTTGGTTCCAAATATTGGGGAAGATGCCAGAGCTAAGGATTATGTTAAAGAGTTTAAGTATAGCCAATTGGAATTTGTGTTCTATATATTTCATCATTTCATTGAGGATACCATCAACACCACAGGCCTTTTTGGGTTGGAGGGTTTGTATTTTGTCCTGTAGTTCATTCAATGTAATTGGAGAATCCAGTGGGTTCTGGTAGTCTTTAATAGTTGATTCTAAGATTTGCATTTGATCATGTATATGTTTTTGCTGTTTGTTCTTTGTTCTTTGTTATAGGGCCAAAAAGATTGGAGAATTGGTTTACCCATACATCTCCGTTATGGATAGATAACTCTTTGTGTTGTTGTTTGTTTAGTGTTTTCCAATTTTCCCAGAAGTGGTTAGAGTCTATGGATTCTTCAATTACATTGAGCTGATATCTGACATGCTGTTCCTTCTTTTTCCGTAGTGTATTGTTTTAGTGATTCACCATACTGACGGCGTAGGCTCAGGTTTTCTGGGTCTCTATGTTTTTGGTTGGATAGGGTTCTCAATTTCTTTCTTAGGTTTTTGAATTCTTCATCAAACCATTTGTAATTGTTGTTAATTTTCTTTGGTTTTCTGTTTGACATTTTTAGATTTGATAGGGAAGCTGAGAGGTCAAATATACTGTTTAGGTTTTCTACTGCCAAGTTTACACCTTCACTATTACAGTGAAACGTTTTGTACAGGAAGTTGTCTAAAAGGGATTGAATTTGTTGTTGCCTAATTGTTTTTTGGTAGGTTTCCACACTAATTTCCTTCCATCTATAGCATATCTTAATATTATTCAGTTCCTTTGGCTTTGATGCTTCATGATTGAGTTGCTCTGTTCAAGTAGACTGTGATTTTGCTGTGATCTGATAGGGGTGTCAGTGGGCTGAATGTGAACGCTCTGAGAGACTCTGGGTTGAGGTCAGTGATAAAGTAGTCTACAGTACTACTGCCAAGAGATGAGCTATAAGTGTACCTACCATAGGAGTCCCCTCGAAGCCTACCATTGACTATGTACATACCCAGCGTGCGACAGAGCTGCAGGAGTTGTGACCCTTTTTTGTTGGTTATGTTGTCGTAGTTGTGCCTAGGGGGGCATATGTGGGAGGGAATGCTGTCACCTCCAGGTATGTATTTGTCCCCCTGTGTGCTGAGGGTGTCAGGTTCTTGTCCAGTTCTGACATTTAGGTTGCCACAGACTAGTACATGTCCCTGGGCCTGGAAATGATCGATTTACCCCTCCAGGATGGAGAAGCTGTCTTCATTAAAGTATGGGGATTGTAGTGGGGGGATATACAGTGGGGAGAACAAGTATTTGATACACTGCCGATTTTGCAGGTTTTCCTACTTACAAAGCATGTAGAGGTCTGTAATAGTTTTATCATAGATACACTTCAACTGTGAGAGACGGAATCTAAAACAAAAATCCAGAAAATCACATTGTATGATTTTTAAGTAATTAATTTGCATTTTATTGCATGACATAAGTATTTGATACATCAGAAAAGCAGAACTTAATATTTGGTACAGAAACCTTTGTTTGCAATTACAGAGATCATACGTTTCCTGTAGGTCTTGACCAGGTTTGCACACACTGCAGCAGGGATTTTGGCCCACTCCTCCATACAGACCTTCTCCAGATCCTTCAGGTTTCACGGCTGTCGCTGGGCAATATGGACTTTCAGCTCCCTCCAAAGATTTTCTATTGGGTTCAGGTCTGGAGACTGGCTAGGCCACTCCAGGACCTTGAGATGCTTCTTACGGACACACTCCTTAGTTGCCCTGGCTGTGTGTTTCGGGTCGTTGTCATGCTGGAATACCCAGCAACGACCCATCTTCAATGCTCTTACTGAGGGAAGGAGGTTGTTGGCCAAGATCTCGCGATACATGGCCCCATCCATCCTCCCCTCAATACGGGATTTTGTCCCACTCCTCTTTGCAGATCTTCTCCAAGTCATTAAGTTTTCGAGGCTGACGTTTGGCAACTCGAACCTTCAGCTCCCTCCACAGATTTTCTATGGGATTAAGGTCTGGAGACTGGCTAGGCCACTCCAGGACCTTAATGTGCTTCTTCTTGAGCCACTCCTTTGTTGCGTTGGCCGTGTGTTTTGGGTCATTGTCATGCTGGAATACCCGTCCATGACACATTTTCAATGCCCTGGCTGAGGGAAGGAGGATCTCACCCAAGATTTGACAGTACATGGTGCCGTCCATCGTCCCTTTGATGCGGTAAAGTTGTCCTGTCCCCTTTGCAGAAAAGCATCCCCAAAGAATTATGTTTCCACCTCCATGCTTCATGGTTGGGATGGTGTTCTTGGGGTTGTACTCATCCTTCTTCTTCCTCCAAACACGGCAAGTGGAGTTTAGACCAAAAAGTTCTATTTTTGTCTCATCAGACCACATGACCTTCTCCCATTCCTCCTCTGGATCATCCAGATGATCATTGGCAAACTTCAGACGGGCCTGGACATGCGCTGGCTTGAGCAGGGGGACCTTGCGTGCGCTGCAGGATTTTAATCCATGACGACGTAGTGTGTTACTAATGGTTTTCTTTGAGACTGTGGTCCCAGCTCTCTTCAGGTCATTGACCAGGTCCTGCCGTGTAGTTCTGGGCTGATCCCTCACCTTCCTCATGATCATTGATGCCCCACAAGGTGAGATCTTGCATGGAGCCCCAGACCGAGGGTGATTGACCATCATCTTGAACTTCTTCAATTTTTTCAATTTTCTAATAATTGCACCAACAGTTGTTGCCTTCTCACCAAGCTGCTTGCCTATTGTCCTGTAGCCCACCCCAGCCTTGTGCAGGTCTACAATTGTATCCTTGATGTCCTTACACAGCTCTCTGGTCTTGGCCATTGTAGAGAGGTTGGAGTCTGTTTGATTGAGTGTGTGTGGACAGATGTCGTTTATACAGGTAACGAGTTCAATCAGGTGCAGTTAATACAGGTAATGATTGGAGAACAGGAGTGCTTCTTAAAGAAAAACTAACAGGTCTGTGAGAGCCGGAATTCTTACTGGTTGGTAGGTGATCAAATACTTACAGTGTGGGAAAAAAGTATTTAGTCAGCCACCAATTGTGCAAGTTCTCCCACTTAAAAAGATGAGAGAGGCCTGTAATTTTCCTCATATGTACACGTCAACTATAACAGACAAAATTAGAAAAAAAAATCCAGAAAATCACATTGTAGGATTTTTTATGAATTTATTTGCAAATTATGGTGGAAAATAAGTATTTGGTCAATAACAAAAGTTTCTCAACACTTTGTTATATACCCTTTGTTGGCAATGACACAGGTCAAACGTTTTCTGTAAGTCTTCACAAGGTTTTCACACACTGTTGCTGGTATTTTGGCCCATTCCTCCATGCAGATCTCCTCTAGAGCAGTGATGTTTTGGGGCTGTCGCTGGGCAACACGGACTTTCAACTCCCTCCAAAGATTTTCTATGGGGTTGAGATCTGGAGACTGGCTAGGCCACTCCAGGACCTTGAAATGCTTCTTACGAAGCAACTCCTTCGTTGCCCGGGCAATGTGTTTGGGATCATTGTCATGCTGAAAGACCCAGCCACATTTCATCTTCAATGCCCTTGCTGATGGAAGGAGGTTTTCACTCAGAATCTCACGATACATGGCCCCATTCATTCTTTCCTTTACACGGATCAGTCGTCCTGGTCCCTTTGCAGAAAAACAGCCCCAAAGCATGATGTTTCCACCCCCATGCTTCACAGTAGGTATGGTGTTCTTTGGATGCAACTCAGCATTCATTGTCCTCCAAATACGACGAGTTTTTACCAAAAAGTTATATTTTGGTTTCATCTGACCATATGACATTCTCCCAATCCTCTTCTGGATCATCCAAATGCACTCTAGTAAACTTCAGACGGGCCTGGACATGTACTGGCTTAAGCAGGGGGACACGTCTGTCACTGCAGGATTTGAGTCCCTGGCGGCATAGTGTGTTACTGATGGTAGGCTTTGTTACTTTGGTCCCAGCTCTCTGCAGGTCATTCACTAGGTCCCCCCATGTGGTTCTGGGATTTTTGCTCACCGTTCTTGTGATCATTTTGACCCCACGGGGTGAGATCTTGCGTGGAGCCCCAGATCGAGGGAGATTATCAGTGGTCTTGTATGTCTTCCATTTCCTAATAATTGCTCCCACAGTTGATTTCTTCAAACCAAGCTGCTTACCTATTGCAGATTCAGTCTTCCCAGCCTGGTGCAGGTCTACAATTTTGTTTCTGGTGTCCTTTGACAGCTCTTTGGTCTTGACCATAGTGGAGTTTGGAGTGTGACTGTTTGAGGTTGTGGACAGGTGTCTTTTATACTGATAACAAGTTCAAACAGGTGCCATTAATACAGGTAACGAGTGGAGGACAGAGGAGCCTCTTAAAGAAGAAGTTACAGGTCTGTGAGAGCCAGAAATCTTGCTTGTTTGTAGGTGACCAAATACTTATTTTCCACCATAATTTTCAAAAATAAATTCATAAAAATTCCTACAATGTGATTTTCTGGATTCTTGTCTTTTAGATTCTGTCTCTCACAGTTGAAGTGTACTCATGATAAAAATTACAGACCTCTACATGCTTTGTAAGTAGGAAAACCTGCAAAATCGGCAGTGTATCAAATACTTGTTCTCCCCACTGTAGGTAGCATACAGGAGGACAGTTTTCTCTGTTGAGATAATTTCCTTTTGAATTTCTAGCCAAATGTAAAATGTTCCTGTTTTGATTAATTGAATAGAGTGAGTTAGGTCTGCTCTATATCAAATTAGCATACCCCCTGAGTCCCTTCCCTGTTTCACACCTGGTAGTTTGGTGGATGGGACTACCAGCTCTCTGTAACCTAGAGGGCAACCAGTGGATCCATCTCTTCTATACCATGTTTCTTGTAGGATGACAATGTCTGTATTTCTGATTTATTTGGTGTAGTCCAGGTTCCTGCTCTTTAGGCCAAAGGCAGCTGACCTCAGGCCTTGGATATTACAGGATGAGATAGTGAAGTCTTTGTGCTCCATAATGTGTCCAATGTTGTTAGTCATGTGATTTGGCCTCAGACCAGTAGGTGTGAGCAGAGCCTGCTGAGCATCTGGTACATGCCATTGGCTTGGGCTAGTGTAAGAGTGAGGATTGGGCCTGTTTGCCTGCTCACGGCCTGGGAGTATATGTGACTTTTATGTTGAGGCCCTCTTTGCGGGTGTGGGGGGCATGGGGTGGGCAGGAGGGGCATAGGTGTGATCTGAGGGATCCTGAATGGGGTGTGGGCATGGTTGACTTGGTGAGGTGTTGATTGGTTGGGGTGGGGGTGGGGATGTGGCTGGTGGTGCTGTGGTCTGGATATAGGTCCTCTCAGCGTGGGTCCTCTATGTGTAGGGTCGGGTGAGAGCGATGTCTTTTAGTGTCCGGGCGAAGGTGGGCACTGCTGTCTTGTATAGGTGGACCTGGTCGTAAAGGCTGTTCAAGTCCAGGGTGGAGTGGTGGGCCAGGTAGACATTTGGTTTTGAGGCACAGTCACAGGAAATACTTGTACCCAGTGTATGGTAGCAGGGTCGAAGTATTTTCATGGTAGCAGGGTGGAGATAACCACTTGTGCATCGGGGAAAGTAGAAGAAGCTTTTTCTATCACTCCCTTGAGTGCTGTGGCCACCCTTTCCTTCTGTGTTCTCAGGTCGTTTGTGCATGTGTGTATTATTATGTTTAGACACTGTGTGTTTGGGAAAAAGTGTATTTTCTTGTATGTATTTTCCGGCTGTGATGTCGAGGCTATGGTCAGGGTCTAGGGTGAACTGTTCTGCTGTGGTGTCGAGACTTTGGTCAGGATCTGAGGTGGGCTGTTCTGCTGGCTTCTCTGCGGTGGCTAACTCTCTAATAAGTTGTTCTCTGTCACCCGTCATCGTTCTCACCTTCTCCTCCAGCACTCTGATTCTCTCCTCTAGTGCTCTGTTCTTCTCCTGCTCCTGCTCTTTCTCCTGTTGATGTTGTCTCACTACAGTCCAGAGTGCAGGAATGTCTCTCTCCACCTCCAGCTCTCCGGGTCTAATTGAGGGGGTGTTGTTGAGCTGGACTATTTTTTGTGATGACTGGAGTGTGTTCACCTGCTGTTCCAGCTCCACCTGCCTTACCTCCAGCTGGGTGAATGTATCCTTCATTTCAATGAGGGAGTAGTACTCTGTGCTGGGAGGTTGACTTTCCACTTGGGGTTGCTCGTCTGTGGAGTTATATAATGAAGAGGTCTGGTCTGACCCGCTCGGGGTGGGGGTATCTTTCTCAAGGGAGAGCTTCTCCTGCTGAGCTATTTCTTTGATTAGGTGAAAGTCCAGCTGAAACTATTTGGGGTTGCCCTGTACTGCTACTGTTCCAGACTTGTACAGATTTATATTGGCTGACTCAGAGTTGTCTAGTATGTCTCTCTCTCTCTCTCTCTCTCGCTCTCGCTCTCGCTCTCGCTCTAGATCTCTAGCGCTATATCTCTCGTATCCGAGATAGCATGATTTCCGCGAGCTCTCATACTAGATCTCTCTTCTGCGGGATCTAGCCTCTCTCTCTCTATTCTCTCTCTCATCAGTCCCTCCTCTCTCCTCCTCTCTCTCTCTCTCTCTTCTCTCTTCCTGTACCCACACTTTTACGCTTGCGAGCTAGCGAAGGGACATTTGCGTGAAATATGTTATCTTTTGTGCCCAGTGTGTTTGGACACCATTTGTGACTTTCTGCACGATCTCAGAAAAAAACTGCCCGGTTGCTTTGGAAATGCATCCCTCTAATCTATTTCACCAGAATAATTCAGTGCTGGTGTTGTGTGAGTAGGTTGTTGTGTGTGTCACTGTCTTTTGTTGTGAGGATAAAGAGGGTATGGTAGTCTTTGGGAGAAAATGCAGTAACTAGCTTTGAGTCAGACACAAACAACATGCATGATGAAAAAAACATTATGAATATATTTTTTATGATGTACTGAAAATAGCACCAGAAAATCTTCTCTAAACGGAGAGTTGGCAGCACCACAGCATTTCTAGCTGAAGGCATTATTTTGGACATTTGTGTTCCGAAGCCCACATCCACACTCACACTCGCACCGCAGTCAGAGAGACACACACATACCCCATCCTCCAGGGAAAGAGTCCCTCCATGACAACTGACTCACCAGCAGCATGGAAGCACCAAGGTCTGTATTTATATAGCCTGACATCAAATACAGTACGTTCCGTTCCATCCGCAAGGAATTCAATTAAATTCCAACAATCACCAAGTACAAATAGAGCAGTGATTTCTGATGGCGGGTCCGACACCGCCAGTACAATACATTAGCCGATGTCCCTCCTATTCATCCTGCTAGTTAGTCGTTCCTTGTGTAATATATTGGTCTTAAATAATTTTTCCAAGTTAATGCTGATTGGGCCCATGTCTCTGAGTGAGGCCGGAAGAAAGAAAAAATGTAGAAAAAAAAGGATAATGAGCACTCCAGAGATCTGTTCCTCCCTCCTCCGGAGTGCCTAAACACTAGCACTGTATTCTGTTTCTCCGGACCTAATTGCTACTAATTTAAACACCCCTGTGTGTGTCTGTGTTTGTGTGTGTGTTTGTGTGTGTGTGTGTGTGTTTGTACCCTTGGAGCCATGTGCGCCAGGCTCCCTCGCACACAGCCACTCGGCTAGAACCTGCCAGTTCCACCGAATTGGATCACAGTCTTTTAAATTGGAATCGGTGTTGAAGAATCAAAGAGATTGGAAGGCTGACAGGGAGCAGAATTAAGGCCTTAAACGTAGCATCTGTGCCGGTCCAGACCCTCCCTATGAAAAAACAAAAAGAGGGAGGACATAGCGTAGAGGAAGAGACAGGAGGACGAGGCGAGGGGAACGTATACCCATGTGCAAGAGTGAGAGAGGAGCGTGTGCCCTGTTTCACTACAAGGAACCTCCACTTAGATTGGACTTGAACACCTGTCCTCAAGCTGTCCTCTTTGCCTGTGTGGGTCTCTCTCTCTCTCTCTCTCTCTCTCGCTCTCTCTCTCTCTCGCTCTCTTTCTCTCTCTCTCTCTCTCTCTCTCTCAATTTCAATTCAATTTCAATTTAAGGGGATTTATTGGCAAGGGAGACATACAAAGCAAGTGAAATAGATAATAAACAGAAGTGAAATAAACAATAATAATAATTTTAAAAAGAACAGTAAACATTACACTCACAAATTTCCAAAATAATAAAGACATTTCAAATGTCATATTATGTCTATATACAGTGTTGTAACAATGTGAAAATAGTTAAAGTACAAAATGGAAAATAAATATAAATATGGGTTGTATTTACAATGGTGTTTGTAATTCGCTGGTTGCCCTTTTCTTGTGGCAACAGGTCACAAATCTTGCTGCTGTGATTGCACACTGTGGTATTTCACCCAATAGATATGGGAGTTAATCAAAATTGGATTTGTTTTGGAATTCTTTGTGAGTCTGTGGAATCTGAGGAAATATGTGTCTCTAATGTGGTCATACATTTGGCAGGAGGTTAGGAAGTGCAGCTCAGTTTCTGCCTCATTTTGTGGGCAGTGTGTACATAGCCTGTCTTTTCTTGAGAGCCAAGTCTGCCTACGGCGGCCTTTCTCAATAGCAAGGCTATGCTCACTTAGTCTGTACATAGTCAAAGCTTTTCTTAATTGTGGGTCAGTCACAGTGGTCAGGTATTCTGCCACTGTGTACTCTCTGTTTAGGGCCAAATAGCATTCTAGTTTGCTCTGTTTTTTTGTTAATTCTTTCCCATGTGTCAAGTAATTCTCTTTTTGTTTTCTCATGATTTGGTTGGGTCTAATTGTGTTGTTGTTGTTGTCCTGGGGCTCTGTGGGCTCTGTTTGTGTTTGTGAACAGATCCCCAGGACTAGCTTGCTTAGGGGACTATTCTCCAGATTCATCTATCTGTAGGTGATGGCTTTGTTATGGAAGGTTTGGGAATCGCTTCCTTTTAGGTGGTTGTAGAATTTAATGGCTCTTTTCTGGATTTTGATCATTAGTAGGTCTCAGCCTAATTCTGCTCTACATGCATTATTTGGTGTTTTATGTTGTACACGGGGGATATTTTTGTAGAATTCTGCATGCAGATTCTCAATTTGGTGTTTTGTCCCATTTTGTGAATTCTTGGTTGGTGAGCGGACCCCAGACCTCACAACCATAAAGGGTAATGGGTTCTATAAATGATTCAAGTATTTTTAGCCAGATCCTAATTGGTATGTCGAATTTTATGTTCCTTTTGATGGCGTAGAAGGCCCTTCTTGCCTTGTCTCTCAAATCGTTCACAGCTTTGTGGAAGTTACCTGTGGCACTGATGTTTAGGCCGAGGTATGTATCGTTTTTTGTGTGCTCTAGGGCAACAGTGTCTAGATGGAATTTGCATTTGTGGTCCTGGCAACTGGAACCCCATCATTTTTGTCTTACTGAGATTTACTGTCAGGGCCCAGGTCTGACAGAATCTGTGCAGAAGATGTAGGTGCTACTGTAGGCCCTCCTTGGTTGAGGACAGAAGCACCAGATCATCAGCAAACAGTAGACATTTGACTTCAGATTCTAGTAGGGTGAGGCCGGGTGCTGCAGACTGTTCTAGTGCCCCTGCCAATTCATTGATATATATGTTGAAGAGGGTGGGGCTTGAGCTGCATCCCTGTCTCACCCCACGGCCCTGTGGATAGAAATGTGTGTGTTTTTTGCCAATTTCTACTGCACACTTGTTGTTTGTGTACATGGATTTTATAATGTCGTATGTTTTTCCCCCAACACCACTTTCCATCAATTTGTATAGCAGACCCTCATGGCAAATTGAGTCAAAAGCTTTTTTGAAATCAACAAAGCATGAGAAGACTTTGCCTTTGTTTTGGTCTGTTTGTTTGTCAATTAGGGTGTGCAGGGTGAATATGTGGTATGCCGTACATCATTTGGTATAAAGCCAATTTGACATTTGCTCAGTACATTGTTTTCACTTAGGACATGTACGAGTCTGCTGTTAATGATAATGCAGAGGATTTTCCCAAGGTTGCTGTTGACGCATATTTTTACATTTTACATTTTAGTCATTTAGCAGACGCTCTTATCCAGAGCGACTTACAGTTAGTGAGTGCATACATGTATTTATTTTTTTGATACTGAATATCCCACGGTAGTTATTAGGGTCAAATTTGTCTCCACTTTTGTGGATTGGGGTGATCAGTCCTTGGTTTCAAATATTGGGGAAGACACCAGGGGTAAGGATGATGTTAAAGAGTTTAAGTATAGCCAATTGGAATTCATGGTTTGTATATTTTATAATTTTATTTAGGATAACATCAACACCACATGCCTTTTTGGGTTGGAGGGTTTGTATTTTGTCCTGTAGTTCATTCAATGTAATTGGAGAATCCAGTGGGTTCTGGTAGTCTTTAATAGTTGATTCTAAGATTTGCATTTGATCGTGTATATGTTTTTGCTGGTTGTTCTTTGTTATAGGGCCAAAAAGATTGGAGAAGTGGTTTATCCATACATCTCCGTTTTGTATAGATAACTCTTTGTGTGGTTGTTGTGCTCTCTCTCTCTCTCTCTCTCTCTTCCTCTCTCTGTTCTCTGTTCTCTCTCCTCTCTCTCATTCTCCTCTCTTCCTCTCCTCTCTCTCTTTCTCTCTCTCTCCTCTCTCTTTCTCTCTCTCTCTGGTATTTACAAGCCTTATGGCATACAGTGTTAGTTTTGTATAAACACTACACTATATTTGTTATTGTTTTCCTGTGTTATACACTTGCCTTGTGGTCTTGAGTCAATTATTTATTTATGTGGGCTTCATCTGGTAAAGGGGAAATCAGTAGACTATACATACAGTATATGCAGTAGTGAAGCCTTGTTCTTGCTGTTGTGGCAGTAGTGAAGCCTTGTTCTTGCTGTTGTGGCAGTAGTGAAGCCTTGTTCTTGCTGTTGTGGCAGTAGTGAAGCCTTGTTCTTGCTGTTGTGGCAGTAGTGAAGCCTTGTTCTTGTTGTTGTGGCAGTAGTGAAACCTTGTTTTTGTTTTTGTGGCAGTAGTGAAGCCTTGTTCTTGCTGTTGTGGCAGTAGTGAAGCCTTGTTCTTGTTGTTGTGGCAGTAGTGAAACCTTGTTTTTGTTTTTGTGGCAGTAGTGAAGCCTTGTTCTTGCTGTTGTGGCAGTAGTGAAGCCTTGTTTTTGTTTTTGTGGCAGTAGTGAAGCCTTGTTCTTGTTGTTGTGGCAGTAGTTGAAGCCTTGTTTTTGTTTTTGTGGCAGTCAGTGGAGGCTACTCAGAGTAGCAAGAGGAGGACCATCCTACTCAGTGAATTTCATAATAATTATTTTTTTTAAAGAACATTACAAAACTCCAAATGGTTAAGGTAAGGGTTAAGGTTTGGGATAAGCTTAAAGCCAAAATATAAATAACAACTTTCTATTGTTGGATTTGAACTTGCAACCTTTGGAATCAGAGGCTGATGCCCATCCGCCATCCCCGTCCACAGCACCCTAGCAAACCCAAAACCTAATTGAACGTAACAGCGCTCACTGTTGCCCATGGTGGCTGGTTTCCACATCATATCCCGACGTCCTCCTGAATACTGACTTGTTTCACGGGTGACTGGTCACCATAGTCAAGAACTGGCAGGAAAGTTGACTGTACAATCTGCTTCCTGCTTTTTAGGGAGAGGATAGATCTATTTCTGAAAAAGAAGCCCACTTTAAGTCTTAACTGTATAAACTAGCTCATCCGTATGTTTTTTAAACATTAAATCTTTGTCAATCCAAATGCCCAGATATGTATAGGCGGGAGAACCATCCAATGAATAAATACAGTATGTAGTCCATCCGAAATATTTTTGCAGGAATTAGCAAACAACATATATTTATTCTTGCCCGCATTAAGTACAAGTTTTAAACCAACCGGGGCTTTCTGTAAGGCAACAAAGTCAGATTGCAGCTCTAACATAGCCTGTCAACGGTTGGGGCAACGGCATACATAACAGTGTCGTCTGCATACAGATGAATATTACAAGTTTTAACAGATAGACTGCTGGGATTACCAGGGCCGTCTGGGGTGAGCGTACAGATAAATGAGAGGCCTTCTTTCTCACTTTTCTCTCTGTCACTCTGAGGTCATTCTCCTGTCACATCTACACTCATCCACCCCTACGTACCCAGCCTCCCCCTTGCATCTCCATCTCTTCCCACATCCCACCCTTCCTCACTATATCTCCTTCCTATGTCTCCTTCCTCACTATGTCTCCTTCCTCACTATGTCTCCTTCCTCACTATATCTCCTCTCCTATGTCTCCTCCTCACTATCTCCTTCCTCACTTGTCTGTCCTATGTCTCCTTCCTCACTATCTCCTTCCTCACTATGTCTCCTTCCTCACTATGTCTCCTTCCTCACTATCTCCTTCCTCACTATGTCTCCTTCCTCACTATGTCTCCTTCCTCACTATCTCCTTCCTCACTATGTCTCCTTCCTCACTATCTCCTTCCTCACTATCTCCTTCCTCACTATGTCTCCTTCCTCACTATGTCTCCTTCCTCTCCTATCTCTCACCTGTCATAGGTCTCCATTGGTACAGCGTCCTCCTTGGTTTTATGTTTAAGACAAAGCAGAGGCCAAGTTCTTCCTGTGTGTGCTAGTGTGTGTGTGGAATTTTCTGTGTGTGTGTGTGTATGTGTGTGTGTGTGTTTGTGTGTATGTGTGCGTGTGTATGTGTGTGTGTGTGTATGTATGTGTGCGTGTGTATGTGTGTGTGTGTGTATGTGTGTGTGTGTGTATGTGTGCGTGTGTATGTGTGTATGTGTGCGTGTGAATGTGTGTGTATGTGTGTGTGTGTGTGTGTGTGTTTGTGGCTTGTTGTTACTACTGCGGCTGCTCTGTGTCTGGTTGCCTGGCGTCACCTGTCACCGTGCAGCGAGTAGAGGGTAGCACTTTGAAGCAGTGTAGCGCCACCGCCGCTCCCACCCTCACCCGATCAAGCAAGTTTGTTTACTTGTTTATAAGGACCAAAGGATTGACAGCCGTCCCATATAGATTGCAAAATAGTTGGGAAGAGATTTTTGATGTACCGATCCCATGGCATAGTGTTTATGAACTGACACGCAAAACGACACCGGATTCAAAAATTTGAATCTTTCAATTTAAATTATTATATAATATTCTTGCTACCAATAGAATGTTATTTATATGGGGGATTCAATCTTCCCAGCTCTGCAGATTTTGCTGTGAAGAGACAGAATCATTAGATCATTTGTTTTGGTTCTGTCCATTTGTAGCTTGTTTTTGGATACAGGTCCAGGAATGGCTAAAGGATTGCAATATTTACCTGGAGCTAACCTTGCAGATAGCATTACTGGGTGATCTGAAAAGTCATAGTCAATCGATCAATAATATAATAATACTTTTAGCAAAAAAAAGTATTTTTATTTCACAATCTGTAGAAGCAATGAGAATAGAAAGGTTCAGAACTTTTGTAAAACATCACAGTACGGTTGAAATATATATGGCAAATAGAAATCCTATATGGATGGTGTTAAGAGATAGATGGGAGGTATTGAATAGAGTTGAAGGATGGGACTAATAACAAATAACAACAAATAATAACAAAGATAGCTAATAATGTAAGCATACTGTGTCCATAATAAGTATATAGGTTGTATATTGGGAGCTTTTGGGAAAGAGCACAGTTAGAAAGATATGGCATATAGAAGCAAACCGGATGGACATCATGAAAATGATCGGAGAGGTTGAGAGTAGAAGAAGTTCAGGAGCAAAAAAAATAAAAAAAATAATAAATAAAATAAATAAAAATATTGTAAAATTAACTGTGTCCATAAGGTGTAGATAGTAAGTATAGACCGGAAGTAGAGGCCTGGGCATTGTTGTTCATTCAATAATTTACTCCAAGTAGGGAAAGGATGGCGGGGTTGAAAAGTAATAAAGGGGAGTATTATATAAAACATGGGGGATTGGAAGTGATTGCAGACAATTACAATTGATAGAATGATACAATCTATCTGCAATATTAAGCTGATCCATCCAAAAAAAAAGAAAAAAAAGTGTGTTTACTTCATTTAAATATCACGCCAAAAGCCCCAAACAAACCATCAAACACAGCTGCTAATGTGGATCTGACCGTATGGTTGTGGGCTGTGAGAGCTCTCTCTCTCTCTCTCTCTCTCTCTCTCTCAGCTTCCTCTCCTCTCTCTCTCTCTCTCCTCTGCTCTCGTCTATCTCTGCCTCTCTCATCTCTCTCTCTATCTCCTGTCTCTCGTCTATCCTCTCTCCTCTCCTATCTCTCTCTCTCTCTCTCTCTCTCTCGTTGAGGAATAGGCCCTCAGTGAAGAGCAGAGCAGAGGACAGAATGATGCAGATTCCAAGGCTCTCAGAGAACCCACCTTGCTGTCAGTCAGCTGTCTGCCTGTCTAGACTAGCCCTAATGACTCTGACTCTGCCTCCTTGCTCAGCATTCATGGGGTGTAGGGTTAAGTTGATCCTAGATGCTGATCTTGGGTCAGTTTTCTATTTTTCCCACTAATGGTTAAGATTAGGATTGGGCGAGGAGAAGCTGATCCTAGATCTGTACATAGGGGGAACTTCACCCCAGAGCCATCTGCTGGGAGAGGATTACTGGTAGTCTGTCGATCCCATGGTTCCTTTATACTTAGCTTCCTAGAGAGGAGAGAGGAGAGAGGAGAGGAATTAACAAACAGAGCAGTAAGGAGGGGAGAGGAGGGGAGACTGGTGAGACAGGGGAGACTGTTTCTAATGCAGTCAAGTCTTTGCTGGTTAATTACGTAATTGGAAAGCGATGAATGTCAAGGTAAACAGTGTGACTGTACTGTATTCACTAACGTACCCTGGGACTTTGTGTAGAAGGGCTGTGTGAAAAGAGAGGACAGAGTAATCTACTGCATTGATCCAACAGCACCACTATGCCACAAACACTGATTTGGGTAAGTGAAACATGTTGGAAGGAGTCCCACAGCCAATTTTCTAACAAATCAACACGTTACAAGCTGGGAGCATAGGTTTTTTTTGGGCAGGAAAAAATATCCAGGAGAAAGAACATACACAGATATTTTAGAAAATACACTATTTCAATTATGCTTTTAAGAAGAGGACCTTTTTTGAGGCGGAAGATGTTAGCAACAGACATTACATCAAGAAGTCAATTTGTGTTTCTTGAGGCTATATGGAGAAAATACAGTACATCATGTCATGGAAAGGAATTATTAAAGCACTTTTTGAGTAATTACATTTGTGCTCCTAGTTCATTTTTCTACTACTCCTACCGAGGGGGGAAATCATCAGTTTCATGCACTTTTACAGTATACTGCGTTTTATTCGTAATGAGTTTTGACTAGCTTAATGAGCAGCCAGTCTCCATTGTTTTCTCTTCCCTTCCTTCAACTCTCTTCCCTTCCTTCCTTCATTTCTCTTCCCTTCCGCCCACCTTCCCTCCTTCCGCTGCCGCTCCTACTGGTTCTTAGCTGTTTAATGCTCCAGCCTAGCTCAGGCTCACCTCCGGCTGCATCTCTCTGGGGTCAGAGTTGTTGTTGATCTCGGAGATAAAGGCAGTGTCTGTTGTGATGCTATGGCATACTGTTGGCATGCTGTTCCACTTCCAGCACGGCTCAGTAGTGTGTACAGTTAATTAGATCAACTCATCCTCTCCTCCCGTCCTCATGAAACTCCCGGCTCTCCGTTTTGCCTTGAGTGCCTGAGTTCCCATCTGTAATGTTCTCTTTGGGAGGAGGAGAGAGAAAGAAGGAGGGATGGTGAAACAGCTGGATCTCTGCGCAGAGAGAGAGAGATAGAGAGAGAGAGAGAGAGCGAGAGAGCAGAGCGAGAAGTGAGAAGGAGAGAGAGAGAGGAGAGAGGTGTGGACGAGAAGAGGAGAGAGAGAGCAGAGAGGAGAGAGGAGAGATGAGGGAGAGGAGAGAGAGGGAGGGAGAGAGAGAGGAGAGAGGAGAGAGAGAGAGACGAAGAGAGAGAGGAGAGGCAGAGAGAGAGGAGGAGACAGGCAGCAGGCAGGCAGGCAGGCAGGCAGGGTGAGGAAGGCAGGCAGGCAGGCCAGGCAGGCAGGCAGACAGGGGGACAGACAGACAGACAGCAGACAGACAGACAGACAACAGGACAGACAGACAGAAAGACAGACAGACAGGACAGACAGAGAGAGAGAGAAGAGACAGAACCACAGAGAGGAGAGAGGCCAGAGAGAGAGAGAACAGAGAAGAGAGAGACAGACAAAGAGAGAGAGAGACAGATATATATTATAAGAGAGAGAGACATGAGAGACAACAGAGAATAGAGAGAGGAGAGAGAGAGAGAACAGCATACAGAACAGACAGACAGATGACAGACAGAGCGAGAGCGAGAGAGAGAGAGAGAGACAGACAGACAGACAGACAGACAGACAGACAGACAGACAGACAGACAGACAGACAGACAGACAGACAGACAGACAGATAGACATAACATAAAATACTTAAATCAGTTATAGAACCCATTGCCCTTTATGGTTGTGAGGTCTGGGGTCCGCTCACCAACCAAGAATTCACAAAATGGGACAAACACCAAATTGAGACTCTGCATGCAGAATTCTGCAAAAATATCCTCAGTGTACAACGAAAAACACCAAGTAATGCATGCAGAGCAGAATTAGGCCGATACCCACTAATTATCAAAATCCAGAAAAGAGCCGTTAAATTCTATAACCACAGTGTGCCATCACAGCAGCATGTTTTGTGATCTGTTGCCACAAGAAAAGGGCAACCAGTGAAGAACAAACACCATTGTAAATTCAACCCATATTCAAGTTGATTTATTTTCACATTTGTACTTTAACTATTTGCACATCGTTACAAGACTGTATATAGCCATAATATGACATTTAAAATGTCTCTATTCCTTTGGAACTTTTGTGAGTGTTTTGTTTACTGTTGATTTTATATTGTTTATTTCACTTTTGTTTTCACTTGCTTTGTCAATGTAAACATATGTTTTCCATGCCAATAAAGCCCTTTCAATTGAATTGAGAGAGAGACAGAGAGAGAGACAGAGACTGACAAAGAGAGAGAGACAGAGAGAGAGAGAGGAGAGAGAGAGGAGAGAGAGAGAGAGAGAGAGAGAGAGGAGAGAGAGAGAGGAGAGATAGAGAGACAGCGGGAGAGACACAGAGACTGACTTTTTGTCTTTCTTTAATGATACATTCTAATTTCATTAAAACCTCACCACCACCCCCCCCCCCCCCCCCCCCCCCCTTATTAAAAAAAAAATTCCCCTGTACTGCATTCTCACCTTGCCCACTACCCCACGATACAAAACAACAGACTGGACACACCATATCTCCTGAACAGGGGCGGTGTGTTCATTAGGGCGATATGGGCGACGCACTGCCAAACGGGAAAAGGAAGGGATTTTTTTTCTAATCAATTATATCACGGCAACAGTAGTTATCAGTGTTCTAATCTAGACGTCTGATCTGCCACTAAATGTCCAATCAGGCTAAAGTCGTGCTTCAAATGGCCCCGCCCCTTTTGGGGCGATTTCAGTCAGGTTGAAAATCGCCCCAGAAGTCTCTCATAGACTCTCATGTAAAATCTTTTTTTTTCAAATATCAGAGCTTTCAATACAATCTCTATGGGTTCCGGGAGGGCTTGCACTTACGCGCTTTCGTCATACGTAACATAACCATGAACGTAACTAAGAAAATAGCGGAAGCAGCGTCAATCAATTCACGTACTACTGTCAAGATGGCTAGCGTTCAGTGCAACTCGATTGTCTCTTTGAAAGAAGTTCCTTTTTGTCGGCGAACAAATCAAGATAAATTGGCAACGAAACAATTAGGACCTCCCCGACCAAATTTAATAATTCAACAGGTTTCTACTAAAGGGGGAAAGTCCTACACACCGAGGATTTTCCAAAAATTGGTACGAACGAAAAACCTGGCTAGCAGGCTGCGATGTAGCTAATGCAGTCTTCTGCTACCCCTGCTTACTCTTTCACCCTGAAGGCGGCACGGCAGACAGCACCGCTTGGACAGCGACTGGTTGTAACGGACATGCACCATCTTTCAGAAAAGATTAAGAAACATGAGCTGTCAAAGACCCACATGGATAGCTGTTTGAGATTGTCTGCTTTGGGGAGAGTGAACATTGCCACTCAACTGGATGAGGGATACAGGCTAGCTGTCCGCCGCCACACACGATGAGGTTAGCAAGAACCGCCACATCCTCAGCCGGCTAATCCAGTGTGTGAAGTTTTGCGGAGTGTTTGAGTTAGCTTTGCGAGGCAAAGATGAAACTGAGGGCTCCACCAACCCTGGTATTTTTCTTGGACTTGTCAACTTTGTGGCACAATTAGATGAGGTGTTTTATGGAAATGCATATTGTTTATGCAGTGTTGAGGAATGTGAAAGAACACCCTTGATTATGTTTACTGTGATAACTTATTTTGCTTTTGTAAGCCAACACTTTTGAGATCAGTCAATAAATGCTTCTGGTATTGACTTATATGCTGCCCCTGTCTTCATGTTGTTGCTGGACATATCTTTTTTAAAATGTGTGTAGGTCACCTAAATCATCAGAAAAATTGCCCCCCCTGAGAATTTTTTCAGGAGCCGCCACTGCTCCTGAAACATCTCCACACTTTTTATCATATTATAGAACTCAAATAACACCCTAAGGTACCCAGAGACCATCCCATGAAATAATAGTAAAGGGTATGTTATCCCCCCACCTTTGACCATGTTCCTCCTTGTTAGCCAAATAGCCAACTTTGCCTGAGCAAACAGAAAATTCAACAACACACATTTGGCCTTTTCCTTATTTGAATACCTGTACCCCATTATAAACATCCCGACAGTAAACTCCACCCCCAACTTCTCACACAGACATTCCAACAGAGACATGAATGGCATTAACCTGGCAAACACAGAAAACACATGAATCACAGTTTCACTCATGACACAGAAAGGACACCCCTGTCCGACTCCCGGATCAACCCGTGCCAACCAGCTGTTTGTGGCCAGGGCTCCATGTAAAACCCTCCACTGGAGGTCCCCTGACCTCTTTGGTACTGGGAGTTTGTAGAGCCCCCTCCATCTAAAACCCACCATACTCTCCGCCCCACATACTCGCTGCCACTGATGTGCCTTCACTCCTGTTAGGCTCCTAATGTTCCTTACCCTAATACAGAGGTTGTAGAGGGCTTTGCCTCCCACCCCCTCAAACTCCCCCAGGCTCGGAGTGTTAAAATCTAACAAGTCCTCCAGACCCCCTTGCCAGTCCCCAGTCTCTGGCGTCACCTGCAGTGGCGGAAACATTGGTGGCCCCTCCCCCTTTGGCCGCTCAAACACCACCCTTACTGGCTCAGACAGTGCCTCCTGAACTTCCCCCAGGAATCTCTCCAGCAGATGTTAGTCC